CCTGCATTTCGGTTTTGCGTCTTTGAGTTATGAAGGTTCTATCTTACAATATGTTAAGGATAACGACGTCAAAGAAGGCTTCATTAGATATACGAACTCTGAATGAGTCGCTTAAAATGGTTTCATGGTATCAAATTTATCGTAGGCAATGTAGGGGCTGCGACTGCATGTTTGAAAGTTCGTATATCTAATGAAGCCTCCCTTGACGTCATTATCATTAGCATAGTGTAAGATTAAACCTCCAAAACTCAAAGACGCAACACTGAGATGCAGGGAGATTTCACCTTCAACTATTTACCGTTTATATTTATATAGAATCAGTTTGCAGAGAATCAGCAATAATTGTGCCAGGCTTCATAGGCACTTTTAAAAAAGTCGCCMATTTTATCGATGTCGGAATGCGGTCTACATCAACTATAAAGATTACCATGATTATTTTACCTTCACTGTCTCTTGGAGCCAAAATTGAGACTTGTRYCCACTTGAARTATCTAATGACGTCCGCGACTGCTTGMAGCAGCARTCCATCGTCAGGGCTCATGCGCAGTAGGTAGTCAAAATTACAAGGGTTATACAAAGTAAGTCCACTGGCAAAAGGTATCAGCTGAGGTGTTTGTAATTTTGAACATAATTCCTGGATTGCTTTCACATTTGAGATCTCTRTAGGTCCAACAATTGCTACGCATCCACGGTCGACGAGCTGCATAGCTGATAAATGTGAAAATAAGTAATATCAGCGAGGCGTGGGTGGATATAGAAATGTATTAGAAGAACTTTTACGGGCCGGGATGCAACAAGACATGTATATGCTGTTATTGTTAAAAAACACCATCATATCACACCCGATCAACGAGAAATCGCGTAAACCTGGGAGATCATTGGAAGGAAGGAGTCATTACATTATAAAAAGTGCATTGTTGCCGTTCTATAAATAACGTAATAGGCGCACCAGTGGAAACCTTCCTGGTTTCACCCCTGTCAACAATATTGATTATATACGCATTTYGATAGGCAATGACGAGTGACGCCATAAAAATAAAGCATGCATAATGGCAAATTTTTCTTGCTAAAATTGATGACCCTCCAAATTAAGCTATTCTTTTCTTTTCAGAAACGGGTACAGCTTCGTTCTCTTATTTAATGCGACATAAACATAAAAACGTCTTGGGGATGAATTTTGCGGACATAAAGAAGTGCGAGGACTGCATTTCCCGTCATGGATTCGTTCTATTTTAGTTTTCAATCTTTTGAGATTAAAACTCCCCTTTTTAAATTTAGAGAAAAATGATGAACGATCGATGTTGGTGGTATATTCACTAAATACTATTATAAATCTTCAAAACAACAAAGAATAACAAAATTGTCAAAACAGTAAAAAAATATACCCATAATTCCATCCGGCATCAGATCGACCAATTTCGAATGCGTACATAAAGTGTGTTAGTTTTTTCTCGTACCTTTCACCATATTTCCCAAGTCATCCTCCACATCAACAAACTCAGTTTCTTTGACGATTGTAAAACCAAATTGACCACTTCGTCTTTCTTCGGCATTGATCATGTCAATACTAAGGCTAAATGCCATGAAGTCAGCATTATCGGATGAATTCAGGTTTTCGTTGATTCCAAAGATTCCTCCTAACGATACGAATGGCGGGAATAAGCTCRGGAATATTTAATATATAACATATTTGTTTTCTGSCGATTTCAGTGCGAACACGATAAACTCAAACCTCAACCCGCTTGAATGCGAGCTGCAGGCACAACTTATAAACTCTTTTTTCCAGCAGTTTTGATATCAACGATGTTTTACGAATTGGCGGGAGTTACCCTGGTTCCAGAGGTTTCTCTGTGTTAGTCTCTGTGAAAATCTCTCCGTTCWTCGAGCTGCGTAGCTTTGCGGCGAAGAACGGAGAGATTTTCACAGAGAATAACACAGAGAAACCTCTGGAACCAGGGTAGGCGGGAGTTGATAGACTTCGATCAATCGCGTAGGACAATAATAATATGAACGCTCAAAACAATATCTACCTCGTGGTATAGCGACATATCTTATCATGATACTATAATGTAACATTGATGATGATGACTGCAAATGCCAGTTTTAGAAAGGATAAGTCACAACTGCAGCAATTCATCCAGAATTGTAAAGGTCAAGTTTTTACCTATTTTGATGTTAATGCCATGTGTTCGCCATATTAATCCGATCGCCATAAATACGAAGACAAAGTACATGATTTCCACCTTAGAATTATTCACTAGACTTTCTCCATCTTTGATGTGTAGTTCCGTACGAAATAGTCTAAAACCATAGCTGTCGGAAKAGGTTTTTCGTGTCAACGTTCAAAACGTTTGAGTTATGGTTAACATAAGGTCAAAACAAAAACGTATTGTTCTTTTCATTCAATTCCCTGATGTACCCTTTATTATCTGGAAAACAAAGGACTGGAATATCGTTATTGTACTAGAACTCATGGATTGGACGAAAGGTTCTGTAATGAACTTATCAATTAAATTAAACGTCAATACGCGCGRTTCCCATTTTGGTTTGGATTACAAAATTTTGCTGCGTGCTTTACAATTGGCGGGCATATACGTTTTTTTTACTTAAGAAAGAAAACAATGTTTTTGTTAAAAAACAATCCTTCTCTGACGAAGGATTAACGTCCGAAACGTCAGTTATTTATTTCACATACTTTTTTTACAGATAAGTGAAGAGGCGTGCCGTAGATGGAGAATGATAAGTTACGTTCTTTTACAGACAAGAACAGCGAGATGATTGCCATGGCCTGAGCTCTAGATTGGAGAAGACGAACGGGTAAGCCAAAGACAAGCACTCTAACATACGGGCTGAGAGTTCTATATTTTTTTCGAGAAAATTAGCAGATTGACCTAATACTTCAAATTTAAGAACCTACTGTGAAATTTGAAGCTGACATGGTTCTATGTGAAGGGTATAATGCAAGTTCTGACAAGTTCTTTTAAAAATTCGGTAGGTTCTAATACGCAGGGTTTTACATGCACGCTTCACATTATAAAACGTATTGACGTAGTTCTAAAAAAGTAATTTTTTAACTTTTTAGAATATCAAAAAGCATTCAAAATAAAAATGGCAGCAGATTAGTTCGTTAATTAAACTTTATTTCTATTTTTCTTGAGAAATTACAATTATCAATTCCATAAATTAGTGTTCTTCAATATTGAACTTACATGAATTAAAAACATTTCCTTGACGTTTTGTCTACAATGATATATAACATAATTTAATTCCAAGGTTGCGGAGCGAAATATGGATTTCGTGGCTGCACAGAGAGCTTGCGGGCTCGTTTGTTTCGCTTTTACGCTCTCAAGGACCGAGAATCAGCCAGTTATATTGGGCTGGCTCATCCTGTGTAAAAGCTGAACGTTGGTCGCCTCCTAAACAGCCTCAGAATCAATGGSCTCTTCTCAGCCTTACAGCTATTTTAGAAAAAGTTGAATGCTGAAAATAGTATATTCCAAGTCCGCAATGCATTGTGGGTTGTAAAAAAGGGGTTTTCATGGTTTTAGAGTAACAGTTAGTAATAGCTTGGCACAATCAAGGACTTCAATGAAAAGCCATTAAGTTTGTGTCGTGATGACGTGAAGTTTAACAGCAACAATGCATTGCGATCTTGGAATGCACTATTCAGTATTGTTTTCAACGCTTTTTGAAATTGCTGTATACAAGGAAAACGCTATTATAAACTGACAAAGACTAAAATCGTTCATCATAAATAGTACAAGTTATTTCAAATATATAATGAACTCTTATTTAATTGTTTGTTTTTGTTTCGCTTTTTTTTTCACCAGTTTTCGTATGAATTCTTCCACACAGTGAACATAAAACGTATGAACACAAAAGACTAGTATCGCTTGACTGACTGTTGTTTTTGCTTATTGTGTTTATACAAGACCTGAGCAMTAAGTCCGTGTCAGGAATATACTATTGTAGGACAGAAAACACTGGGAAACAGCAATAGAGAATTTAAAAATATATATTTTTTGTCAAATAGTTATGGAAACAATCTAAACGCCAACCATTGGTGGAATTGATCCTCTTTGACGTAAAAACCGCATTCACACAGGAGCCGATTACTAGGTAATAATTGGCTCCTGATTCACAGTATTAATTCTCAAGAGGGGAAGTCGAATTTTGTTAACATATGACGAAAGGCTGAGGATACGATCGAGATACGAAAAACCTCAATTTTGTTGCACAACATTGATGCGTTTCAAGTTTAGCTTCAGCGTTTCTCGTTTTTACATGTCCAGTTYTGTGTTGAGTGACAATCTGCCAATGCTTTTAAGCGCTGTTACATGCAAAGAGAAATATCGACTCAAAACTTGAAAAGCAACAATGTTCCTAGATAAGTTAAGAGTTAGTTTGTAGATCATATTTCTTGCCTAAACTAGGCTAAAGTCACTACAAACATGATTACAAATGACCTCCTGGTTCCTAGCGTACTTTCATAGCTTGTCTTTTCTTCTCGTCCAGACGTTTGGCGTACGCTTGCGCAGTAGAGTTGATGATTGAAAGAAGAAAATACACAATCATAGCTATAACCAGTTTTTCGAAGAGCCATGCCAGAATGTTTGGTTCCTAAAAAGAGATTAATTTTTACTACATGCCGGCTGTATCGTTGATCGAATTCAGAAATCCATCAGTATAAACACCATTCCATATAATACATGATCAAAAACAAGCAACAAATATAGTCGAAACTTTATAATCTATCAACAACAAACATTTGCAGTGGATCGACGCCATTTTTTTGGAGCAAGGCATCACGGTTAATATAGTCATACGAGTTTTGGTGGTAGAAAAAAGGTCGAAAAAAGTAGTTTACAGATGGCGCGAAGACTACATTTCCCATTCATTCAAATGATCCATTTCTCTATGTCAACGCTTTTKCATTAGATGTCTATGAACATGTCTTTAGATTGGCTACAAACAATAGAAAATGATACAATGTAATGCCCGAAAAGATCTTTGTGCCTTGCAATCTATACCATAATGCATAGTTTACGTAATGCCAGTTTCAGAAAAGGCGGGAATCACCGTAGACTTGTCTAGCGTCGTTTATCTTCGATGTATTATTTTGCTTAACAAAATACCGGATGCATTGTAGACTACATCATTTGAGTATTATCCTCCTTTCATAACCATTCTAAGTATACACCAATTTCGTACAATCTCCGTCATTTTATCCGACAATCTTTTTTGAAATGGGCATATAATGACTTACYGTTGTGGTTGCACCAGCACCACTTCGTCTATGAAGCTTTTCTTTTTGTTTTTCTAAAGCTATTTTGAATGGCTTCTGAATATATGGGCCAACTGTTGGTATACCACTGAAATTATACAACACATTTGTTAGACGAGAAATGTAACAACAAACCTGAGTCTTCAACTATTTTATACAAGGTTAGTAAACCAAAATTGATACAGTCTGTAATACATTGTGCTTCACAGGTTTGATGTTAATGAATAAGAAAGAATAGATAAGGAGTAAAGAGGAGAATAAAATACAATAGAAAAAAAGCGAGGAAAATAAGGGCAAATTGACACATCACCACATCATTCTTCAAAGTTCTGCCAAGGTCGAGAAATGCGTGTGCAAACCCCTCGACTAGCCGTTCAACAATGTTACTACTCAAGTTTGGAGACAATGTTTCTCGTTTTTTCTACCTTGAATGAGGATAGGGAGCTGTGAAAAACAAGCATTGATGCTAAACTTGAGCAGCAACATTTGGCGCATCAAGATCAGGATTTAAGTATCCCATGTTCCAAGTTATGACAAATAATTCCAGCTGAGAATTACTCACCCTACAAAATTGAGAACAGATTCCACATAATGCTTACTGAACGATAAGATGACAAAACTTTTCTGTGAACAAAACAACAAAGAATTAGAATTTTCATCAAACAAAATTGCAAAAATGTTGTCTTAAAGAAAAATATAACTTTGAGGCAAAAGGAATAATATATTTTCTTCAGTCAAAAGCAATCTGTGTGAGATGTACAGTGTATCAGTTAGTCCCCTTCTCTTATTTATTGTCACCCAATCGAGCTTCCTTAATTGGGTTACCTGTGTAACTATGTTAACGTTCTTACCTGTAAATGCATTTTGATGATAGCTTTTCCTATTAATGTTGCACCAAAGAAAGTCCAGAAAGGAACAAGGCAATGACCACAGGTTATGCCAGCTAAATCAAATAAAGGATTTGGTACCTATGTAAACAAATAAACAGACATGTAAACAAATAAACAGTACACCACCATGAAGCTTGAACTGCATATAAGTTAAAACATTTCCAAGTGAGCGTAAAAGCACAAGTGATGGAATAATTTTTAAAAATAACACAACAATTTAAAAGTGTTGTGTTATTTTTAAAAATCATATAAGTTAACTAGTCAAAGACTACCATGATGGTAATAAGATGTCAAGAAAAAGTGCTTAAAGATTAGAACTTTGAAGCATCTATCAAAACCAGGACTATAGGCCGAAAGTCTGATTTTTTTTTGTCTCTGTAAATGATTAGATCTTGGCTGCATTGCATCCAGAATTTTTGAAATAAAATTCAAGATTCAAGACAGGTTAGAGTACTGTATTAACCAAATTTTATTTAATTCTTACCGATGCACAAACAAGAATTCCAAAAAAGCCAACTCTTTCTACAAAGTCATGGACAAACTTCTTAGCTCTTGTCCAAATATCTTGACCAGCAGTAGAYTTCATACGCTCAAGTTCTTCRACTTCATCTAATTCTTCATCATCAGGTTCTATACCTGATAATCGTGCTGGAGAAGACAAGCAAGTTTAAGTATTATAATTAGATTTAATTCAAGTTTATATGACGAAAATTTAGAAATCATGATTATTACAGAGGACATTCTTCTTTTGTGCTTTCTTGGAAACAAAGATTTGAAAAAGAAACAAAATAAGATAAAAACAAACAAATAAATGAGAGAGGGATGTAGTAACTCTGGAAACTACAGGAGCATTACACGACAACTACCAAATACACTAAACTATACACACACTCTCTGGTAGATTTTAGAACCRCAAATACATGCTAAGTTGAATGGAGAGTGAGTCAATGCTTCAACAGTATTTTTCAGTAACTTTTATTACTATAAATATTGATCATGTATCCATGACAGCTATAAGACAATTTTGATCATGTATCTAATCTTCAAGTTAAAACCTTAAGTTAAAACACTAAAGTTGACAGCTATAAAGGATGTACAAGAATACGACAAATATTGCAAAAAATAATTATAACAATATGTTGAAGAATTCAGGTAAAAATAAAATACAATCCCAATAATGCTGAATTGAATTTTGCAATAATTTCTAATGTACTTAAATACATTACCTGCTCTAGCCATAAAATAAGGAGGAAGTTCACCAATAGCTGTTCCAGCTCCCTAACAGATAAAAGATTGACATAAGTCAACTTGTAATACATGTAAGCTTGTATATCATTTTTTAGCTAATTTTGGTAATCCCACAATTTTTTTATATTGTGTACTTTTACAGAAAGAAAACTTCTCATAATAAATTAGTACATAATTATAGAAAAAAAAAACCTAAATTTGCAGCTATGGATTTTGAATTGTTATTCCTTCCTTAATGCCTTTATGTGTCTAAAATTTAAATTGTTACTAAGAAAAGATCATTATTACATAAATTTCTACAATAAAAATATTATTTGATATTTTCATTTATTTTTTTTATCTTTAAAAAATATGTGTATGATATGCACTCCTTACCCACATAAATGCTTCAAGTCTGACTTTACTCATTATTGACCACATGGTGACTGGTGTCGATGACACATGRCCATTTTCTGGACATTGTATACTAAAAGTATACAAAAATGAAAATTAATAGCCAGTGTGGATATTTATTGTCTATTAATATTATAAAAAATTGCAAGCTCACAGGTTGTCTCACATTGATGCTAAGCAAAGAACTGTGAAGGAGTCTTACTGTATTTGTGTAAGATATCATTTAATAATTATACTTTCTACAACTTTGTAATGCAAAAACAAACATACTCATCAGGGTAGGGTGGCTCAGGAAARTCCAAACTATTGCACTCCCATGCTGCAAGTGTGACTGATGCTATATGTGGACCCTGTAATGAAATTGAAAATACATTTACATAAATTATAAAAGGCCTATGGTTTACTGTACGTCATGTGCATTTCTTGTTTTCCCATGAAGAAGTTGCATGCTCAGCTTAATCTACTATAACAAACTACATTTTTTTTCTTTGCTAATTATATCAATATTGTGAAAAGTTGAACATTGTCAATCGACCTTTTGCACGAAACAGTCACATGGTACTAAAGCCACCAGAGGCTAGATGGCAAAATACCCACTGACTGAGATATTTAAAACAAAGTAAAGTCAAGTTTKATGGCCTGATTTACTTTTGTTTTTAGGTCTTCTACATTCTTTTGCCATCCAATATAATGGCAGATTTAGTACCATGGGACCATTTTCATGCAGAATGCAAAAGGCGTATTGAATATTCTTAAAATCTCAGTACAGGCAGGAATAGCTTCATTCCTAGGGTAGAAAAATTTAGAATAACCAATCAATTTACACACAGATTAGAGACTAAGCCCAATTGCACTCGGGAAGTTTGAGAATAGTCAATACTTCTAGTATCAACACAATATGACAGATGCACAAAGATATGGGACTTTTACATGTAATATTGTATGCATACCAAATATAATAAGAAAGTGTGCAAACCAGTTCCTAATCCTACAGATGACAGGATACCAAGACCTATCCAATAGGCACAAAGTATTCCAAAAGCCTCAAATTGATCCAAATACTGAAAGCAGTAAACAAAACAAACTTAATTTGTTAATTATTATTTACTAATCTTGTTCTGATAATATACAGGTACAGGTAAAATGTTTGCCAGTCAGCAAACAAGATAAGATAAGTTCCAATAAAAAATATTAAATAGAGCTGCAGAATTGTAGCTAACTGTGTCAAGTATTTTACAACATTTATAGTGGGACAAGTCATGCAACAACATGATTTTTCCATTAAGGATTGACTGTATAAGGTGTTTACTCATTTCAAGACATCCTGAATCAAATTCCAAAGGCCTATTGCCTCAAGTGTCAATACATCAATCACCATAACATAGCTATAACATTACAGAAATCTCTTCAGCTGGTTTCCAGACTTACCTTGTGATGTGAACCATCGACATAGTAGACTAACAATACTGATACAGTAATGAAGGTAATTAAGGAACATGTTTTTCTATGCTTCAAAACCCTAAAATATGAATTAAAAGCATGAGATTAATAACAATAAATAATCATTATCATCATCTTTCATTAGCATCATCATCATATCCATCAAATGTATGATCACCATCATTATCATCATCAACATTCATACCACTCGACTTCGTCTTTTACGCTTTTATCAAATTCCGAAAAAGTCATGTGAAAATAGAATCTATTTTTTAACATAATTATATAATGGAATTGCAAACAATGTTTGCTATAAAATAATTASAAAAACTATTCTGAGAAGTTAAATACAAATTGTTTGTCTTCTATTGTATAATTTGTGCATTTTCTTATGAAGCATATAAATGCACACGTCACTATTCTTGGTGTGCAACCACAATAGTCTCCTTCACGGTAGCAGTGCCTTTACAATGAAGCGAGATGACTGTTGAGCATGCAATGTCAGAAACCTTCTCTCCCACCTACAGACAATTATTCACAGGTTTCTATCATTGCACGCTCAACAGTTGTCTCGCTTTGATGCAAAGGCACGGCTACCTTTTAAGATGGTGCAGGTAACCGTGAAGGAGACTATTGACTAGGGATCCCCTGAGAAAAAAAGAGCAAAGCTATCGCTGCCATGTTGGATAAATGAACAAGATAAACTAATTAGGAATGCTTTATGATTTCCATCCAACATGACGTTGATGAAGTAATTTGCAAGCCAAGAATATATACCTTTCTTTATAATCCTGAAGCAGAATMATTAATTCAAGAATGAAGTATGTCASYGTAACAACTGGTTTTCTCCACAGTACAATCTTATGTCGTTCACGTTGGTCTATTCTTCTTTGTTTTCTCATTTGTTCTTCATAATCATTATCACTTTGCCTGCTATTTGCATCATTAGGATGCACTCCGTTATTTTTTGGACTATCAGAATTTGCATCAAGTCCTGCTGAAAAAAKTCAATAATCAACAATAACTCCTTGAAAATATTGATAAATTTAAACWATAAAAAGGAAAAACAATGCACCCTTCTGAAAAATTCATAATGATTACATGAAATAGTTGTATTGCATGGATTTATTATGTAATTTGTGCACTATTGAAGATATTCRTTCACTTGTGATCTCCTAAGTGTATAGATAAAGTTGTTATAGGTTTCGATAAATATAATGTTATCAAACAAATCTAGTTAAAATGACATTGTGTGAATTGTCTAACCTTTCTTCATGGTTCTCTGAACTGCTTCAGTCTGGTGATTYATAAATTCACTACAAAAAAGAACAAAAAAGGATTATGTATTGTAAACTCCCACCTTGCAAGAGACAATCTGATGTTACATATAGGACAACTTGCAACAACAGATTGCAATTGAACTGCAACCTTTTCTGCATCATCCATTGRCAATGATTTAGCAAAATTGTTGCACCAGTCAACTTTTAGGTGCAATATGCATTATRGCATCTTCACAAGAGCAGTTATTATTATTTCTAATTGGACAGCATGGTATAATATAATAATTTTACCAAAAYGTGCATATCTTCCATTGCAAACAATCTGCAACCAAAATGCTCTGCAATTCTAGAATTTTGACAAACTTACACAGTTTTTTATGCCCTAAAGGATATAAATCTGATCTTTTAATGCTGGTAAAAAAAGAATTTGAGATGTCCTCACTGAAATTGAAAAATTTCATTCCTGATGTCCAACATACCAAAATATGTAAATAATATTAACATTATAAATTAAATATTAATTTTATCAAATTTAATAGCAAATAGAAAAATATATATAAAAAAAAATCTGAGCCAAAGCTGTCAAGAAACGACGAAAAGGGAAATAAATTTTACGCTTCCATGACAACCTATGGTTGCAAGTACTTCCGGTTTCTACTTGTTATCACACCATCGTCAGTAACAAATCAAAGCAAGTTATTAATATTTAGAGAATAAAAAGGTGAAAGTTCAGTTAAATGTACTTTAACTGAACAACCATGGTAGCAATAAACTTGGGAAAATGTTACAAAACGAAAAGTTAAACTTGAGATATATAACTTATCTCAAACTTTGGACTTTATTTTACACACAACACAACACTTTTTACGAGAGTCAAGTAGATCTACGTGTACATTAGCTTTTCACATTGACCACTGATTCAAAATCTAACAATAGTCAATTAAAGCTACTTCATCAGATAACATGTAAATCAATAACAATTGTCCATGAACGTACCGTTCTGGCATTTCTTCCAAAGGMTGCAAAACCTGATCACTGATTTTCTCTTCAACGTCCAACTGTCTCAATCGTGCGATCTGCATATCAAATAKATTGACACGTGATTATATGATAGGGAGTCTAAATTAGGATTGCTTAACGCACATTAATAACTTACTAATTCCGCTTTCAGTCCAGACGTTGTGCAACCACGACCTTTGAGCAGTTTCTTCAGTTCGACAACCTTCAAATTTGAATACTGATCCTCGAGCTTTTCGGTCGCCGAGTRATCGTGCGAGTGTTCGGGAATTTCCGGCAGGTTTCGCTCGCGTATTCTCGTGCTTCTTCGCCTATTAGCCATTTAGACACGTTTCGCAATTTATGCCGATGTCAATTTTCACCTGGGACATCGACTAATTGCAAATTCTCACGAGATAATCCAGGGAATATTGACAAAAAAGTGCAGAAAACGAACAATAGATAMAAAATGGCTGCCGAGTGAGACCGCTGACCATACACGTGTGCCCATCACCTCGCTTTCATGTTGTTCTTCAATTTGTTTTTTTGCTTCTTCTGTAAAGAAACGTTTGATAGTGGTAATTTATTAGGTCTATCTAGCAAGCAGTTTGAACATGCCACACTAGTCAATAATTTCTTTTATCCTTAAGAACGCGGAATTGAAAATTGTTTGAATTGAATCGACGGCTYAACGGCCATGCCGATAAAAGAGGGTCCATGCAGGCAGAAGCACTACCCACTATTAAACTATGCACGCGCACCAGGAAAGAATTGAAAAGGAGGGTCATTTTAGATGATCTTTTGTTTCCCCGGAGTCTCGTCTTCACTCCAGGGTTTTGTGTATTATCATTCAACGGAGTCGAATATCGAATGTGGGCTTGTTTGGAACCAGAAATAGAAAGTGTAACGAGCTTGTTAACGAAATTGGTCTGGGATAGGGTAAGGGTTTTGAGGGTCGTGCGGCACTCCCCCTCCCCCCCCAATTTGTGATGGAGTACTCCCCCCTCTCCCCCTCCCCTAATATCATTTCGAAACGACGGGAGCATATTCGAAACTTTCAGGGGGCCCCCCTTTCGATCAGTTCTGCATCAGATCTTACCACCTCAGTGTAGGGGGCAGAATATACTTAAAACTTACTTAAGGCTATACTTGCTACAAGTCGGACTCTCTTTAGACTCAGAAAAAGAAATGGACTTTGTGAAAGTCTAACTAAAGGCCAGAGCTGCAAAAGCTCAATAGGTKCCATCGGAAAAGCAAGACATAAGTTATGTTAGCCTGACATATTTCACGGTTTATTTTGAAAGAAAAATTGTGCTGAATGGAGACCATGACAAGAAGGGTTATTTCCTCCTTTCTTAGGACGGTGGCTGGTATGAAATTAAGGTTCAAGAATATTCCACTGGTTTTCAGCACCGCTATTCAACATCAGTCTGTAATTATAGAATAAGTTTAATATGCCTTGTGATGTACTTTTTCCAGTTACGTTATATGTAAAACTTTTTTTTTCTCTTTGTCCTAAAGAAACTAATCAGTTAAAATATCTTTTAACATATCTTTAAAAAAACTGAAGCCTGCATGAGTGGCAGCCTATCGAGGCAACGTTTACAAGTAAAAATACAGCTTTATCACGTACATATACATAGTACTTGATTGCGAGAGATACAAAATAAAACTTTGTGTCGATAGAAAAAGTTGGTATTTTACAATTGCTTTCGAATGTTTGATTGCTCGAAAAAGGGCTGCTTATTTTAAGCGGYTGCGGTTACGTTACGCGGCTAAAATATTTGCTCTAAAAGAAGCAAATATGATAAATTATATCAAGAATTACTATTAYCTAATATTATTTTCACTTCAGTTCTCAAATCTTATCTAATTTTTCTGCCCTCTAATTTATCGCTTAAAAAGTCGTCTATAAACTGCTTAGCAGCTTCTGCAGTTACCACATCTTTTTCGCAGACGTACACTTTCCCACTTGGAATATCGAGTATGGCTAACATGTTTTCTTCGCTTAAGCCAGCAAAATCTAACACGCTATCAACCACTTCGTTATTTCCACCATAGAAAAAGTGTATGGGCAGGTCTTCGTTTGCTTGCTCGGCTTGCGTCATGTAGCTGTCTGCTAGCGGTTGGAGTATTTCTTTAGCATGCTTAAGAGTACCCTCATCACCATCTRTGGATTGAAAACAGAAAATTACAATATAGTATCCAGAATGCGTAGCAAGCACTTGTTTTTTGTGAAGSCATAAATGAAAGATAAAATGTGCCGGTGCGAGTGCGTTACAAAAACCTAACGGCCCACTTGTCAGTCCAAACTGAAATGCGGCGTAGCAGGACCAAGCAGGGTCTCGCAACTACCCTCTTGGCTCACACTKTACGTACTTGCGACCAAGTTTCCGTCGACTGCAATAGCATGACAGCATTTTTATCTAAAACTCATTACTTCGCTAAAAGTATCGAATGCTGTGATGCTACGTATTCCAAGACTGAAATATGCATTGCTGCTATTGGATAACACATTACAAATTTGTGAAAATGGCCGCCGCTCATCAAATTAAAATTTTCCTTTTCCATCCATGACAAAATCAACCATGAAAATCTCTGAGAAAGCTCTAAAGCCCTAATATGACAAGATTTTGTTAAACTACAGAAAATACATGTGTATGGCTTAYACCCTCAGACGGTTTTGAAAAATTCATATTTCTGTAGGAGATTATATGGATTATGTACACATACCAGTGAAGTAGACAGCACAAGCCTCCTCGTTTAGAATGGAAGCAGTAAGGTCATTGAGTTCGCTTAGTGGCTTCGGTTTCCATGGGAACTCCTGGTAAACAAAGAAGTCGTGTCAAATTGCAGTGTCAGGCGTGTGTTTTTTGTCTGCATCTGCATCAACGTGAATGCGCATCCAAACGAAACTGAGAGAAACCTTGACACAAAAATATCCTCAAATAAAATAGAAAACATATATATCACAGAACAGATCTCATTTCATCAGATGCCTGTAAAATAGAATAGAGGAAAATAACTGACCTCGTCCCTAGGCTCTTACCTTACCTGACCCTAAACAAAGGAATAAAGGCCTGGGGAAAAGGCTGAATGTGTGATATGCATCGGAGTTTCAAATAAATTAAACAATACATCGAAAAAAGATTTAAAAAAATACTGATGTTTCGGACCTTTTATCGCAACAAATATTTCGAGTTTTGACGGGGAAAAAAAATCATGAAAGCCAGCATCATGACAACTCATACTTCATAATATTGTTGTCAATCAGATCACATGCCTCCATCCATTGTGACTGGCTTTTTGGCGCAACCCGCTGTGTGATCTTTCGGGACTAGGACCTGAACCTAAGCAGTTGGAAGTGGGCGTCAAACTCCCAGCCATTCCCTACTATCAATATTTTTTAATTCACACTAAATGACTAGAGATATTGCGAGTTTATATTACCTTTCCTTCTGGATCAGCGGCTACCGCCCCTCTACCATTAATCGATATCACCTTCCAGTTTTCATCCATGATAATTAGAGTCGGTATGCCTAGAAAGAAAATGTAGCSTTATTTGAAGGTCGAACTATATCGTGACAAGTGTTTATGTTGGTTAGAGCGCGACTTTTTATGTTTTTTTTTTATTTATTGAAAATTGACATCAAAATGTTATATATGCCTTCCTATTATCTTATATTTGTAMTACTTTGYGCGKGCATTTCATTTCGCAAAATCCGAACTAACAGGKAYATTTTGGCGGCATTAATTTCCGCTTTTTTTAAAGAAAAGACAAAGACAACTGTTAAAATAAACTAATAAAAGAAAATTTATAAAATAAACTTATTATAAAATCAAATAAAAGTCAATAGAATAGAGACTAATAACAATTACATAATAATAAGCCAGTTCATTATTGATTTAAACTGAAGAGTGAATTAAACTTTTTCGCGTATTAAGTTCTCACGTAAACTCTTTCACGTGTATTTAAGCATTTAACGATTTTTTTACGACTCGCAGAAATTAGTACGAATAAGGCCCCAGTAATTGATGAATAGATTCCCTTATCACTWTATGTAAMRTGCAATTTTCTAGCTGTATCAGTTTTTAATATCTTTTTACACAGCGGGCGCTTTCGTACGTATATGACAACGATATATTTGACACAGCACGACGGTGTGGTCAATCAATCGAAACCGCACGCGATACAATATTCGGGGAAAGGGTCTGGTACACCGCAAGGCGTGGCAAGATGCGCACTTCTGTGTAAACGCGCGTCCACACTGAAACTCCATATGGACGTATAGTAAAAGACTGGACAACTCAGAGCGTTTTGAAAATGCTGTTTTGCGATGCTTCAATGCGAGAGTTMATTTGAAGCATTTTTGAAAATTAAARTAAAAACGCTGAAACGCAAAAAGTCTGAACCGTACTAGTTTGAACTTTCAACTGAATGATAACTGCTGTGGATTTTGMGCCTTGACTGTACAATACCTTCAACGCCAAAATGCTTTGATATGGCATTTTTTCTTGAGGAATCACTGTAGGGTACGGCATACCACGGCATTGTTGCTAGATAACCATTAAACGATTCTTCTGATCTGTCTGAGCTCAAGAAAATGACTTCAAACTCTTTTTCTGCTGCTTTGATTGCATTGTACGTTTTTCCTAGCAAAGGCGTGAATGCTCTACATGGTGGACACTGAAAGAAAAGAYCAAACTGCACGTGAGCATCCACTCGATATATTTAAGCTCCAATTTGCCTTGTGTTACCCCAAGTAAGGCAATATTAAGTAAAAAAAATTGCAAAATCATGGAGTACGAGATATCTAAGAAATCTAAGTCTAAGAATCTTAACAGGGACGGATCCAGGAATTTTCAAAAGAGGGGAAAGGTTAGTTGACAAAAAGGGCGTAAAATTTTCTAGGGAATTTGCCTTGCTTTGTCAACTTACTAATCTTCAATTGAAAATGTAAAATGGTAAATAGTAAAATTACGACAATCAGATGTGTTTTGGGAGTTATTTTATTTTTCAATGTCTTTTTATATAATAATTTAAAAGAAAAAAGAAAAAAAATTGTTCTGCAAAAGGGGTGTAGTGTCTGCATTTCCCCATCCACCCTTGCAGCRCATCAACATTAAAATTTCTAATACTCCAGGTTCGAATTCAAAGCGAATAATGTTTTATTTGACAGCATAACTTACCAAACACAAAAGAAAGCACGAGAAAATGTTGCTTGTACAATAGTGCTAACAATTTACATTTTCCCCGAGTTGAGGCTAACCCTGTATTCCCAGRAGGCTCATACCTTAGGTCTCATGGGAATACAGGGTTAGTCTCAACTCGGGGAAAATGCAAAGTATTTCAAGTCTATTGTAATAACGACATTCTCTCGTGCTCTCTTTTGTGTTTGGTAAGTTCTTTGCGCAAAAGAATCTGTTGTCAAATAAAGCAGCGGTTTTGCGCTATGAATTTGAAACTGGAGTATTTTGCAATATCAAAGGGAAAAATCCTTGTTTTTGATACTTTTTGTTTATGTTGAGCAACCATACCATGGATAATATTTGATATCTGAATCAATACCTACCCAATGAGCTGAAAAGTAAAGACCAACAACTTTTCCTTTCAAGTTGTCTGTGGTGATCTCTTCCCCTTTTCCATTGACAAACTTTCCCTGGATCAGTTCAAAGACTGACTTTGGTTTCCATGGGAAGTTCTCTCCCTTAGGATCTTCCATCATTGCCAGTCTACCATTCTTGGTTATCAAACTGGCRTCTTTACCATCAAGAAACACTAGTGTTGGAATACCACCAACTTTGTATTTCTTAGATAGTTTTTTCTGTGTGAGAAATAAAACTGTCAAATGTCATTGAAATTGTCTTGTGGTTTCTCAGTGATTTAAAAACACTAATAAAGCTGGTAAGCTAGAGCACAGAGAGCCCMAAATTATTCACCTCCCCATTTCAAACTTTCCATGTTGCTAAAAAAAAGCGTATAGTAGACTGATTCCATAAGCAGTAGTTTCCGTTCGTCGGTTTGAACGACAGACAGACTGGTGGAATCAGTCTAAAAAAAGCGTATTAGTTTTAAAATCTTTTATTTACAAAGTTAACTTGAAAATTTGAAATGGAGCCTTTTTGCATATTATGTATAGCACTACTCAAACCACGAAAGACACAAAAGGTCACAAATTAAAGGAACATCCTGAAAAGTTCATTTTCAAATTATCTATGCTTCCTGTTTTACATATCTATCATATTGTAAAACCACAGTATTTATAAATTCTCTTTGAGGTCTAACCAATGCTAGATCTTATGGCTCAAACACTACACATGAAATTGATACAAGGTGTAAACTTATCCATAGCTTGAAAAAAAATTATCCATTTTTTGAGGGTTACATATTATAAATTGTTATTTGCACAAAATATAGGTTAGGCACTGTACTTTAATGAGACTGATATACAGCCACCTCATTATCACTGTTTAGTTTTAAAGACAAAGACAACAAGAAAGTTATTAGCATAAAATTTTTTTCAATATTCCTGGGACATTTTCCAAATGTAAAAAAAGATAAACAACATCACAATGCTKTTGACATTTTAATGGTGTTTTACAACTCAAAGTCAGGAACTTGCAAAAAATTAAAAATATAATATTACCAAACAACATTAATGGGATATTGACTAACTTAAAGAATTAAGGCTATTCTTACAGTTATCCACAAGAGAGCAATTAAAATTCTTCAGTTTTTCTTTTGGATATATTAATTGAATATATAAGTTCCATGATTCTTGCTATAGGTTCTTTTTTATTAGTTTCTCATAGAGATAAAATAATGTATTTTAGAAATAATTAATAATTYTTAGTAGTTATTACAAAAACAGGAACTGCATAAGACAAGAAATTCCCTTCTCACTTGAAAAAGTCGAAATACAGAAAWWMCCRWTWAATAATGTCAATAACGTTAATAATGTATGCATTTGTACAAATCTCGTAGAATTTTGGGATYTAATTTTATCAACATTGACAATTGTACAATCAAGTAGAAAGGGGAGCTATACTGAAACATAATCTTCGAAAAACTTTAAGGAATTCAAACTATGTGGATCTATGTTTATTCATTTAAATTTTCTGGAAATAAACCACACGAGCGATCTTGAATAAAATCGATGTTATGTGTTCTAGAACGATGGAACCMAGCTTGTTATTTTTTATTTGTAATTGATAATTTTAATATATTAACACAAACAATCAAACTGGGTTCATTACGTATTGTTTTATTATTATTTTCTTGAGTGCACATGACTTCAAAAGGCGCGACTCTATATTTCTGATATTAGGCGYGATAACGTTGTAAATAYGGCAATAAAATTCARCAATTAATAGACAAGAGCASAGATTCGGTAACATAATAGTGGCATTGGTTTGTCAAGACGAATTATCAGCTTTGCATTGTATAGTAACCATTTCTGTCCATATACTCGCTCGTAACACTATGTACTTGTATATTTATATATTACTATTATTAATTAGATTTCAAGAGTTTTTCTCCCTTCAAACTGATTTATATACTCACTAAACTCGATACACAGTATTTGAACACTGAGAATTTGAACACATGCCGAGATAAAGTGTTAATAACATGGGTTACATCATCGTAACCAAGCAAGGTGGTTCGGAAGTTTCCCCTCTATACACTACTAGTATATATACTAGTAGCTCTTTATATTTAAAAGACTTAAAACTTTGTATGACAGTATACGACGAAAATGAACGCGCAAACAATTTATCTGAGGCGATAAAACCTACACAATTCAATTAAGAGTAACAAATTGCTTGAATGCAAATAAACCGTAATCGAGTTATGACTCGTCAGGTTTATATAATCTCACCTTTTTGTCGCGATCGTTGAACGGTAGTGCATGCCACGGCATTTCATCAAAGTACTTTTGAAACTGATTCTCGTCGCGGTCAGAGCTTATAAAAACAATCTCTAATTTTTCGCCATTTGCATCTCTAAACTTCTTGTAAAAATCTGCTAATTTTGGAGTAAAACCTCTACATGGCGGACACCAATGAGCCGAGAAGTACAGACCAATAACTTTGTCTTCACCAATGAGACTTTCAACCTCAACTTGTCCTTTTCCCTTAGGTGTGAGAACCTTTTCACCGATGAGCTTTTGGAAAGCTTGAGACATCTTTCTTGGTGGGGATAGAACGTCTGTAAACAGACTTAAACCACAGCTGTTTGCAAGAGCGTAGTATAGTGAGAGAGCCCTGACCGTCGTCTGACAGCTAATCGCTGATTGGCTCGCTGCCAGTTAGCATTTCAGACAGGAAACCCACTTCTACTCATAGCCAAAGAGACGAGWTCCCCGATGAGAATTTCCGGTCGAATAAATGACAAAATAAAATGGTTCGTAAATATGTCCCTAAAGCACTTTGCACGCTATCATGTAAAGTAGTTCAAACAGTTATGATTCCTTTACCTAYATTACCTCCTGATAAGAGAATTTGTAAGAACATTATTGACATTGATACACGTGGGCACTTTAATTTATGGCTTGTACACCTGTTACAAATCCGGTTACAAATGTTATCGGCGGCTCTTTTCGCACAGATRTCATCAAAAGGCATAAGAATAAGTCACCTATAAGAAAAAAGGATTTAGTCTATGGGTTTAGATAGTCCACAAAAGATATTCAAACAAACAATTAAGCAAAAAACTACATAAGTCTCGCTCCAATCTTGTCCCTCCAACTTCTTCCCCGGATATAAAGGGTGATTTGCACTAAGTTTACGTTTKCCATTAATGCAATTATTGCTTTGTTTGTTTTTAATATTTTGCAGTTGCTGCCAATTTTTCTACCTCTCAGGGGAGGAGTCGGATATATTTTGTTAGCACCATAGCGAGGTTAAGAAGGCCAGGCTGCACTTTTGTCAACAAAGTTCTGTCAAATCAGCGAAAATGTGCAAAAATCGTTCCGACAACGTTTCCAAGGTTCATCACCATTTGTTCCTTTTGATACTGCAGTATTATCAATGGAGGAGACTATGTGGTTTAAACTGCTACAGCTTGATCTCTATTCCTTACTCCNTCCAACTTCTTCCCCGGATATAAAGGGTGATTTGCACTAAGTTTACGTTTTCCATTAATGCAATTATTGCTTTGTTTGTTTTTAATATTTTGCAGTTGCTGCCAATTTTTCTACCTCTCAGGGGAGGAGTCGGATATATTTTGTTAGCACCATAGCGAGGTTAAGAAGGCCAGGCTGCACTTTTGTCAACAAAGTTCTGTCAAATCAGCGAAAATGTGCAAAAATCGTTCCGACRACGTTTCCAAGGTTCATCACCATTTGTTCCTTTTGATACTGCAGTATTATCAATGGAGGAGACTATGTGGTTTAAACTGCTACAGCTTGATCTCTATTCCTTACTCCACATTTTCTCTTTTTTAGACACTAAAGATAAGCAAAATGTTGCTCAAGTCTGCCAGTACTCTAAGGACATTGTCTATTTCCCTTGTCTGTGGAAGAACATTCAAGTTGTTCTTTACTACGACTTTAGTGAATGTTTGGTCATGAGTCTACAACAACGGAAAATTACTCGATTTGTGTGCTATGGCTCTACTGACGAGGATTTGTCGCTATTGTTTAGCACGATACCAGGCATCACAGACATTTGGATTCGCAGTCGGCAAGTTAGCCAGGAMTTTTTACACAAAAGCCTACCTACTCTAGACAGGCTAATGTCTCTACGCATCGCACAATGTTGGCATATCAATATGAAGCTGCTTTACCAAGATGAACGGCTAACTGATATTCTAAGCCGTTTGAAAAACGTCCAACACCCACCCAACATGTCAACTACARGTTTTCAAGAGCTCGTGAAAAAGTGCAACAGTTTAGAGGAGATTTACTTTTATGACTGTGACACTAAGAACAATAGCAATTTTCAGAGTCAGGGAGTTTTAGTGGAGGCATGTCCAAATATCGAATATATAAGTTTTGGCAGTACAATGTGGTTTTCTAGTACAGAACAGTGGCAAAAAGCTCTGGAAAACCTTCCACTTAAGGCCATTGATTTGTCTAAGTGTTTTGACATTACAGATGAGCACATTAAGCTTATAGCTGATTATTCAACAGGCCTCAAATATTTAAATATCAGCTCTATAAATATTTCAAACAATACYCTGATTTATACTGCAAAGAAGCTCAAAGACCTGAAACATTTCTATTTTTCCACTAATAGAAATAGTCAATTGGTTGACGGTGTTGATGGCTGTTCCCCAGATGAATGGAATTTACTATGTGAGGTTTCAAAGATGAAAAAYTTGGAATCATTACAGATTTGTCTTAAATGTGGTATACTAACTGATGCTATGATCTACTCTGTAGTTTATAATATGCCAAATTTAAGATCACTTGAAGTGTGCCCAGTCGGCCCAATTAGTCCTGCATAYGCATTTCTGATAGGGGAAAAGGTACCAAATCTTGAAACACTCAAAGTTTTTGGCCATAGAGAAACAGAAGGTATTGGAGCTCTTTGTGGTGCCCTGAAAAACTTAACCGATTTACAAGTCTTTCACTGCAACCTTACAGATGGTGATTTGAAAGATATAGCATCTTGTCTGAAACTAAAACACCTCAAACTCCCAGGACACAGAGGAGTGACAAACCAAGGCGTAAAGTGCATTGCCTGTCTCAAGTCCTTAACGAGTCTAGATATTTCATCYTGCAGTGTTGGAGATACAGGACTATCGTTACTTGCTAAGCAACTAACTAAGCTGCAAAAGCTTATTGTTAGTGGAAGRAAGATTACAAATCATGGTAAATAAGGCAACAAACAAATATATAAGTACCATTATTAGAATTACCATGTTGGAATGTTTTTGCTTGTAACCACAGGTATGTAAACAAGATTACTTGCATTTTTCAAGGGCAGATCCAGGGAGGGACAAAGGGGTGCTGTACTGTAGCTTCCCCTCTTAGCATTATATTATTTTTGATGGTGTTTATAACAAATAAAGCACATTTAGCCCCCCTTTAACCATTAAGCCCCTCCCCCTCCCCTAAAATTTCAGCTGGATCCGCCCTTGCTTTTATTATATGTAGTTAACAAGCTACTAAATTTATCAAAGGCAGTGCAAATAAATTTATTTTCCTATGTCCTTTTTACCTTAGGAGCAATAATGATTGCAAAGCACCTCAAATGCATGCAGCATTTGAATATTTGTGGCACCAGCATTGGAGATCAAGGGTTTGTCTCTATATGCAACCTTCCAAGTCTTCACAAATTTCAAGCAAACTGTCGCCTGCTGACCAGCACTGGCTTTCTAGACGGGGCTAGAAGTCTTGRAAATTTGAAAAGYTTAGAAATTGAGTCCACTAAAATTGGCATTGGTACAATTCAAGATTCACTARATTATATGAAAAGTCTTGTTTATATAAAAATCAAATCAATTCCTGTAACTACTAAGTGTGTGATGAGTATGGTTGAAGAGTGTCCTTGTTTATCAATCCTTTCAATCCACTGTAAGTATTCACCACTTCTACCATGGCATCAAACAAAGCAATTGTGCCAACAGTTTGGGGTAAAAGCTAATTTGTGTTTAAGCCTCTGAATTATTTTGTTTTTAAACCTAAAAGTAGACAGAAGTTAAAATCATTAGCCTGCAACCCATAGACCTAATCAGCTAACACTTTGCCATGTATCTCTTACCTCTTATCTCAACTGTGAAAGGAAAATACAACGAACAATGAAACATACTCCCACAGGTGGTTTGAACAGAAAAAAATATAAATATATTATATTAAATATAAAAATCTACAGAAAACAAGTACCTTTGACACCATAAAATAGAACTGACAGTGACTTTGTATCATTATAGCTTATCAGGTTGAAATTACAGATGTATTTTGCTCTTATTCTTTAATGAAAAATGGAAGTGTSTACCTAGAATGTTGTACAATGTATAGTGCTATCTGCATGCAGAATTACTGTAAAATTAAATCTGAATAAAAATCTGAATATGATTTAAGTAGTAACATTATTGAACTCTACTTTCAGAAATACTTTATTTGGTTAAAATAAAATCATGCACAATATTTGCTTTCCATTTTATTAACGTGCGAATCCATTTCCAGACCAAAGCAGTCTGTCTTCCTTTTGTCAGCTGACCGGCCAGACTGCACAATACTCTGTTRAATTAACAAATTTAGGCAATGGTATTGTATTCTATTGTATTGTAAATCTATTGTTATWTGGATAAAATGTGCATAAATTTGTCAGAGTATTGGAAAACTCTGTGTAATGGCACTTTTACTAGGCAGAACTGGTAGCAAAACTGGTCTAATAAGTAAAAAGTTACTTTTGTCAAGATTTCCATTGAAATAATGGATAAAATTTAAAACTTGATTCTTGCTAATGTAGAACAGGAATGATTAAAAATGGAATTTTTGTCTGGGTCTAGCAAGTCAGTTCTGACAAATGGAAAGAGCACCAAATACACTCATCTAGCCAGACCAGCCAGTCCTTAATTGGAAAGCATACCATTCACAATCATGGTTCAAAGCTCATGGTGAACAGTAAGAACTGCCTAAAACCACGATGACCCAAAACTTCACAGGCCCTGTATATACCTATAAGGATAACTGAAGGATGAGCTTAGAAGTGTTAAACATATTCGAATAGCATCATTAATAAGATTGAAATATAATATAAAACTAATAGACTCCATATGCCATCCATCTCTAATTGCTGAAAACAATATAGTTTCCTGTCTTAATTCGCAACAAAAAATGGAGCTTTTGTGTTGTCATGGAATGTACTTCTATCTATAACAAAGTGATTTTCATTTGACGATTTGCAAAACTTATTGCTGAACACTGAATATATAACTATCTTGTTTGTTTGTGTTTTTTTTTTTTTGTTATTTCTGAACAGTACAAACTACACAAAGTACAAACTATACTTTTTTCACAGTCAAAATGAAAGTTGGTTGATAATTTATGTTAAATATGTATATCATTATTGAATGAAATAATTTACAAATTTCATTAAGATTGTTATATTAGTGATAAATATTTTACATTTAAATGTTTCAAAATGGGCAATCATGAAAAGATGTGAGAGTTCAGCTATATAATACTGCAGCATGTAATGCACAGCTAAACCTGATGATTTTTGTTCCATCAAAAGTTTTGCTTACATGTACAATTGCTAAAAAACTGAGTAACTTGTTCAAGGAAGAAAGATATGCTAGCTCAAATTACAATGAAAATGATATATTGAGATTGAAACAAAACAGCAAAAGCATTTTGATATGATAGGGAATGGAGGAAAGAGAAAGCAGCAAAATGCTTGCTCTTAATTTGCCAAAAGGAAGGTAGAATACATGCTGTGATTCTATACAAAGTCTGTTTAAGTCCTCTTTGAGATGCATTTTCATAGTAACAGTTTTTCGTTTGAAGTGTCTTGTCTGCTGACAAGGAAAGGCAAACTCACTTCAGTAGGGACAGAAGTGGTGAAACTATAAAATAATGAGCCTTTTTTTCTGTTATGCTCCCCATTTTCCTCCAATCACATATTCAGCAGGCAACTATAAACTTTTCAAGGTCCAATTCCCAAAGCCTTCCAGTACATGCCCATAAAAACTAAATAGGATACAGCAGCTATTATCAGAAAACATTGAAGACTGAAGACTGCACATTAGCTGCATTATACTGTAAAATGACAATTCTAAGCCAATAAAGTTCTTGACAATACAGTGCTGGTACATGTATGGTCGATTGCTTAAGAAACCTTTTGTTTGGTGAGAGAAAACCACAATGCATTTCAATACGTTGTCTTCAGTATTCAATGTTTCCTAAAATAACTTCATTTGAAATAAACTCTTAAATCAGGGGYGCATCCAGGGGGTCACAGGGTGCCTGTGACCCCCCTCCTTTCAAAGCCAAAAAGCATGAAAACCATAGATTGATACTACATGTAACATCATATTGACATGATGTGACAATTTGGTATGTAAGGAACCCTCCCCCCTGCCTCAATTAAATTCCTGGATACGCCCCTGGAATAATAACCTTGGTCCACATGGAAAAAGTCATAACAGTCTAGAAGAAAGCATTGTAGCACAATATCCAGAAAACCATGGAATTATCATGATGGTACAGTTATGCTTTTCAAATATGTGCTACTTTGCCTGTCATCCATTATTGATACAACTTAAAACAATCTGAATAGCTCAGGCTGTCTTCCAATACTAAAATTAATTTTCAGGTAGTGTTTTGTTTTCCTTTTTAACAGGTTCATTCATGTACAGTTTAAGTTGGATACACAAACCTATTAAGATTTGCAGTTTTTCCATCACACAGTAAAAGTTTGAAAAGGATTCTGCAGAACATTCTTGATGATTTCGTTTGTTGGAACAACATATTACTTTCTGGTGCTTGCAGGAATGATAACGAGGATGAGAAACCAGTCAGAAACCAGTTATCAGTTGAAGTAAAGACAAATAGTATTGAATTTCATCCCTATGTGACAGTACAATCCATTTTGTAATCTTGGAGGATGTTAACTGTAGTATTGTGATTGCAACTGCCTGAGGTTGAATTTGAAGTCTGAGTATATTAGTAATTTTATGATACTGCTGTCTGTATTTCAGTCTTTCCTTCTTGTGTACTTTCAGTTGCATCTTTGGCCTTTCCTGATGCATCAGTCTCAGTCACTTTCTCTGTTTTCTGTGGAGGTGGTTCTACTCTTTCCAGTTTGGGCATTGTTTTGTTTTGTTCAGCACGTCTTCGCACTGCTTCCCTTTTTGCTTCTAAAGAAAAGCAAAGGCGTAATTAGTATCACAGGATTGCTTGAATGAAATGTAAAGAACAAAGTTTGTACCAAGAAAAATCTTATAACAAGAACTGTGTTACATTATTGAACTTACTTCTCATGTAGGCCTTCATTTTCTCAATCATTTGTTTGGGTACTTTGAAACCTTTAAGATCATTTATCTTGATGTTTTCATTTTCTCTGGAATAACAATAAGGTTTACAACAATGCAGTACTTTAAAGTAATAGAAGGGCTTTTGAAATACCAAGAAATTAAAGGAGAAAGAGAAGGAAGAAATRAAAAGGGCTAGCTTCATTTGCAGTGTACTCCAACGGAAACAGACTTTCTTCCCTTCTTGGTCTTCCTGTGTTCGTAATGTTGACCGAGAAGAACCAATCTCRTACCCAGAGCCCACACTTTTGCCATCCAGCGGATGTCAATGCGTGAGAGACTCTGGAGGAAACAATTTTTTCTTGATTCGTGATTGGTTGAAAATGACGCGAGCGCGCATTGTTTTCAAATCGGTTTTTCAAGTCGCCAGCGCACGCTCGCCTTGTTAGTCAAGAAAATCATACTTTTATCGCATAAACACACATATTTTCACACATTTGTGTTTTTAAAAAGGTGTCAATGCCGTTCCTAAACTAAGTTGTGTGCTAAACCTTCTTCTTTTTTTATCATTTTAATGTTCTAAAAGCAGAAAACAAAATTGACCTCATTTGCATAATTTGCGACGGAAAAGCGTCGCAAATCCAGTCGATTCCTCCAGAGTCTTTCCGGCGTCAGCATACCGCTGACTTTAGCCGTGAAGACTCTGGGCTCGAGATTGAGAAGAACTGGTGTCAAGAGATTAGGAACAAGGAATAAGATTTTCCTCACTTCCTAACCCCCTCCCCTCCAGCAGATTTTTTGCCTCAGCGAACGAATCCCACAGATTAGAGTTGCCTTAGAAGGAAGCTAGAGCAGGGCATTCTGGTAGTTACCATCATGCTAGTGTCCTATTACTAACCTGTACTCTGTATGAGTCTGCACCAGGTTTCTCACCTCCTCACATATCATTAAAAATGCCTGAAAGAATTCATTGTTTCATTATTTATCATAAGTCAAATAATACATGAGCCTGCTGTTATGTTGTGATATTATAATTTTGGTGTTTATATACCTTTCCACCAGTGATTGGCAGCTGACTTTGTTCATATAACCACTGCTTGTCGTCAGAATCACCAGAATACTATACAACATAAAAAACAAGTTAAATTGATTTAAATGAATTGCTTTAACTATTAGATGACAGCACTTGCCCCAAAATGTTGTAGTGTTGTTTACTTTGAATTTCAATATCTTGGATATAAACAAACTAGTTCATGTACGTCATCATAATGTAAACCTGTTGTTATTTAATGGTTTTTTATAATAATGCAGTTTCTTGTTGTTGTAATCACACAAGTATGGTACCTTGAAAAGATGAGGATGTCTGTAGTATAGCTTTCCTCTAGTGGCTGCAAACCCAAGAGCTCTAGAATTAAACATGTTGTATGTGAGATATGACAAAAGACTCGTTTATTACATTAATAAGAAACATTTAAAGGCTAACAATGAGTAACTTCTTACAGTTACACATGATTATACAATCATATGCAATATGGACAAGACGGAAAAGCTTGTAGTATAGTTACAATATTGACAGGACAGGGATTTATTGCATAGACTTTGAAATAAAATCAAGTCTGAATTGGAAGTCTTTGATTGACTTCTTAAGCTCATCAATTACTTTATACTTCACCATAAATTCTTTGGCCATAAATTCACTGGCATATTGAACCCAATTATAATAAAATTTAAATTACTTGTTTGCTTTTACACCCATGACAAATTCTGTGTCTTCATTTATGCTTTCTGGATCCCACTGAATAAAAAATAAAAACCATTTTAATCATGGCAATTTTCATATTTGTCTGAGTGATAACTGAATTTAAAAAAAAAATGCTTTTTCTTCAGAATCAACTTACATCATATGCAGCAATGGTCTTGGAGTCTGCGGCTCTTGATGCTGCTGTTGATCTGAAATGAAAAACAAAATTGATTCAAAATATAAAATTAAATTAATTTTAATAATGTTTGTAAAGAGTGGAATTACATGTATAGCTGTATCAACAAATCTTCTAACCTTTAAATAAAATACAACAAGATACAGTAGGACGGTGTAGAAGGCCATGGGAAAACTTGTAAAACTTATAGATGACATTTATTTTATCATTCACAGAGGTGACTAGCTTTTACACATTTAAGTTTGCCTTGTGTGCAGTCAGATTTAATGCGCTTCAATCCTTATTGCACCATACCTTTCTACTCTATCAACATCCAGGCGAGGTCGTTTCTAAAATGTATAAAATAATTGTTAAAAGGTGGATGTAATTTATTTTCAGTGTAAATTTAAATCTTTTTAAAAAATGTAATTTATTCTTATTTTATTTGTTGCAGTCTATTTCCTAGATTTAAAATTTAAACAAGCATAGAAAAGCTCAGACCATTTTGTTCCTAACAGTAAAGTAAAATGATACCATCATGTAATTGATATTGTGTGAGGACAGTGTTTATACCTTTTGTATGACAGGGCTGCTTCCTCTTTCACTGCGTTCATACTTGATTTTATCTACAGAGCCCCTTAAATCAACTCTGTACATAAGCTTGGCCTGGAGGATAATGAACAAAGAATAGATAAGAAAATCCATTGACTAATGGAATGAGCCTCTAATAATTCTGCACAGCAGATAACAGTAATACACTAAACCAATCACAGCAGTAACACATCAGAAATAAGCATCTACAATCGTGATTGATTTTTTGAACTACATGTACACATGCACTTGTAGCTGTCCTTGGATTAGAGGAGTATAGGAGTAATGAGGCAATAACACTTGAATTGAAATGATGTTACTGATCAAAAGTCTCAAGGTTTTTGTCCAAGATTAAGTACTTTTACAAATTACTGGTTAATTACCTCATCTAAACTCTTCCTTATGACAGTATTTATCTGCTCTTCTGAAATTGTCTCTCCAGTATTTTCTCTGGCATTTGCTGCTGCCATCTTGTACATCTAAATTATAGGATAATATTAATGAAATATTAGAGTACCCAGTAAAAAATGTTCTATTTATAAAATCCTCTTCCACCAGTAACTCTACTCAGTGGGACTCCTGTGTCAACACATAAAAGCTGCCAGAGCAGGGTCAACCCCACAGCATACCACATGCCAGTCAACGGCATAACATGCACATCTCTCAGGTTTAACTTTGCCAAACTGCATTTGCCACATTTCTAATCTCTCAACAACAGTTCTTCTCAGTCAAGATTATGTCCACAGAAAAACCAAAAAATCCATTTCCAATACAAGACTACACTAGCTTCTGAGTGATGGTTATATATTGACAATGTAGATTTAAAAAATTGTTAGTCAGTGATGAACAGTTTATGTTACCTCTTGATAACTCTTTAATACTTGCTCTATCTCTGAATTCAAGGATGGTTGCAGCGCAGCGCGCACAAGTTCTAGTGCTTTGTTGCCACCTACAGAACTTCCCCTGTAATATACCAAATGATTTATATGCATGGACAGTAAAGATACTACAGTTCTATTACTCAGAACTTCTTTTTTACAGTTAGTTGGACACCCAAAGGTTATAGGACAGAGAGTGTCCATGTTAAATTACTACACATGAAAAGGAATTCTCTGATATTGAAGCAGTTTAATATGTCAAAAGTAAATGAAATCTCACCTTGTTCTGTTATATGAAGCCATAGATGACCTGATGTAGTGATTTCTAGAGAAGAAATAAAATATAATCATATTACCCATAAAAATAATACAGAACTGTACTATACTTTAAAATCAGGACACTCATTCAAACAAACCTCTTTTTGGGGAAATTCCTTGCAGTCATGTTGAATGGATTTGGCTATAAAGAAAAATGATGGCAATAAGTTATTGATGCTTTGTAAATGATCTTTTGTCTACATGTATGTCAACCACTTAGAATTAAAACTGTAGGCGGGAGGTCAGTAGAAGTAAGTTGCTGTATTTTTTGCTCGGCCTCGCAAAAAAAAATACAAAAACGTTAAAAAATGAATCTTGAATGTCCAGCACTGCTGACAAAGTTTTTGAAAAGAGCGATCAACACCGCAAAGATTGTTATACAGGAAAGTGCTTTTACAGAGTTGGTGGCTATGACTTTGTCGTGTGATTATCACTTTTTCGGCAATGAATTTTCGATGGCTCAAATCCAAACTGAAGATGTGTAATTCAGCTCCATGTATAGTTAGTCTTATCATTCACAAGCATGCTAAACTGACAACTTATTATTATTCGTATAAATAGATCATATTGAATGTAAGTGTCCGTTTTATGGGAGATTGAAAACAATGGAAAACGTCACTTGGGAATCGCTAAAAGTGTCCGCGTCTGCTTACCAGGAAGTCCGCTTTTTTCTATTTTAGAAAAAAAATTCTAATTTAGAAAAATGGAAAGTATAAATACAGCGTTTGTATGAGAGGGAAAACAGGGTTTTGAAAAGCTGTCCGTAAGTACAACTGTCCTCTTAAGGCTGATTTATACGGCACGATTGTCTCGTGCGATTTGTAGTATACGACTTGAATYGCACAGTGTAAATGCCCCTACGACTTGTCTACAACAGTCGTACGCAACCTACDACTTGTAGTAGGWTTTTGAACCACTGCTTAAAATCCTACGACTTGTAGTAKRAAAATCGTATACTACAAGTCGTACGCGACAAATCGTACCATGTAAATCAGCCTTTACGGGAGCGTCCGTATGTAGAGATTTGACTGTATTTTATTGTTGTGCATGCATGCCACTACATTCAAATAAAGTGGATTAAAGATTACTTTCAAATAAACTGGTTTAAAGATAGATTAGAGGATAGAGGATTTAGTTGTGGGCCAAGTTTATCGCGTGCGATGAAGAAAAGAGAAGCATCGAACCTAAACTTGAACAGAAATGTTGTGCGTCAAGTTAGTGGTTTTTGTATCTTGTATTAAGCCGCCTTAAAAAGTAATAATAATTTGAAAATTGTTTCAGCTCAGTGAGTACTAGCTACTTTGGTATTTGTTTGGAGTTGTATTCATTGGACTGTGAAATAGTTGATGGAAGCAAACAGGCTACAATCGTGGACAAAAAGTGCTGAGAATCTTTTAAAAATCACTGAATGTTGAAATAACTTCGTATACTTTCTTCGTATACTCCTTTCGGTCAAAGTTTAGAGAGTGGTAGAGAGGATGTTATGCCCAGTAGGAATGTAGACCCTCAACCGAAAAGAAAATAGACTTGTTTTCTTTTGTTCTAATACAACTATTAGAGTCTGCTTATCATGATTATATTTAGTAATTGTTTTACAGTCCAATAAAAGTAATTCTATTTCTTGAAAATAGCACTTTTCATAGTACTTTTCAATCTTGAGTTTTCCATAAGTTTTGAATTAAGTACTCTTATAWATATGCTTTCATTATTTTGTTTTGTCTGTTCTGTTTTTCATGTTTTTTGTTTTTGTTGAATGATATAATGATTTTGTTTTGCTTTTGTTAAATAATATTTTTTTTTTTGGAGGGGGGGGGGGGGGGGAGGGAGTGCATGTTTGGAGGAATTACATAAATCAAAACCGCAAATTGTGACCTGCAGCCCGCAAATTGTGCCTGTTGCCCGCAAGTTGTGCCAGCAGCCCGCAAATTGCGACTCACGAACCGCAGCCCGCACCTTATGCAGACTCATATTTTCCTACTAGTTTCCATTGCCATGGTTTCCGCTGTTAAGTCAAAATTCATTCAACTAGTAAACACTGCATAACAGTGTTGAACAAT